GCTACAAAAGGAGGGCTGCATGAGAAGAGGCACATTCACAAACAACCAGCAAAAATTTTAAGGCGCTTACACCCACCACCTAAGGGGTTTGGGAAAAGCAAGGCACAATAAAAAGAATAAAAGACGGTTCTTGTCCCAAACAGGCAGACACCTCCACACTCCTCTCTTCCCGGAGAAAGAGACACACACAGACAGACCGCCAACGCTCACTGTACCCTCCCAACACCCTGGGGGAGGCTGTCTGACACAGGTTTTCATTCAGCAACTATGGCCTCATTACTCAACTATGGCTTTCTGTATTCTTTCCCCTTCCCCCACAACTCCTCTCTCGAACACAGGCTCCATTTCCTCACTCCACCCACCCCACCTTGGGAGCTGGAAACCAGCCCAAAGAACACCCCTCTCCTGGCATGAAAATAACCCAGTGAGCCTCATGGGCTTCCCTCCCGCACCCCCAAACCCAAGCACTGCCCTGAATTTGGCCTGAGTCCTGCTCTGCCAAATGACCCTGGGCCAGTCTCTTCTGCTGTCCAGGCTTCTATCTGCTGGGGGAGAACCCGACCCTGACCTCGACTGTTCCTCCCCTCTCTGCTTTGCTGTTTCAGAGATGCTACAATTCTAACCTGAGCCTTCAGTGAGCACTCTCCTAGCCTATCTGCTCCTCCTGGCTTACTAGGGCAGCTACTTCTCTCCTTAGGAAAATAGCCTTTTCTAGTAGAGATCTGGGCACTTCCCAGACCAGGGGGAGGTAAAGGACAAGGGAAGTCACAGGAAGAAACAAAATGACAATTTGCAAGCAGCAGCTTCCCTTCCACACAGAGCAAAGCCACCACTGCAGCATTTTCACCCAGCGCAGAAAGAGCTGGAGACGCGGTGGCTGTGTGGCAATGACTGCATCCCCAGTGCCAATGCCCTTCGCAACATCGACAGCCAAGCCAATACCCAGGTGTCTGAATGAACGAAACACTATCACCACCTCTTCCCCTACCTGTGACTGTCACAAACGCCATCTCCTAGACCAAGAAGGAAAACTGAACAATCCAAGTTTCGGTATCTGCTTGCCAGGTGTTTCCATTTTTCTTCATTTTTTTTTATGTTGCCATGGCAACCAAATGCAACAGGCAAAGCTAGCCTAAGACTGTCAGTCTGGAGAGACAAGGCACTGGCTATACAGTTGCTGAGAGCAACACATCGGCCTCACAGCCCAGGGCTCAGCAGATGAGCAACAGGACAAACTCCTCTGAGCTCTGAGTTGTGCACCCCCATCCCTATTCTGTGCTTTTAATGTCTCACTATCAGCTTTTACCAATTTGCAACTGCAGGAGGAAAGGGAGACAGCCATCTCCTAGCAGGAGATACCCCACCGCAAGGCCCATAATCAGCACACACCTTGGAGAGGCCTATCCTGAAGCCTGCAAAATGAAGCCCCAAAGAGTTCAAAGGAAAGGAAAGGTCATTCTTACCTTTGGCAAGGTAATATCTTAAGTGTTATCCTCCAAATACCACTCATAACATTCCAGGCAATTCCGACTTGTAGTTCTTTTCCAAACAATCCAATGAGAAAACAGAGGGCTGCTCAGACCCCAAGGGAAGGAATAAGCTAAACTAGCTAGGATGCCAGGACAAGCAGGCCAGGGTCCTTTCCCTGTTAGGAAACTCCAAGGCAATCCTGGGTGCCTTGTAGCTGGCTTCTGAGCATCAAGCTTCTGAACTTCCAGAGCACGTACTCTCTCTCAACTAGGCCCCACCTCAACATCAAATGCTTGACAGAGCCTAGGGATCAATGTACACAGCCTGCTGTCAGTCAGCTGCCAGCATCGAGGCTCCGGAATGCTTCTCTCCTCTCTCTGAGAGCTGCAGAGGCGTTTGTCAGAGGCTTCCTGGGCAGACCAGCACTGAAGAGAAAATGCTCCTATGCAGAGCACCAACCATGAAAACCACAGCCTGGCAGTTCCCTGTGCCCAGGCTTACCCCTTCAGAAGGGCTCCTGTGTGTGGCCCTTTAAGCCACAAAGGGCAACCACAAGTTTCCAACTTAAGAAAATCACTGAGAATGAGGAAAGAAGCTTAAGAAGAGGAGCCCAAATGATCCAATCACTAGAAATGAGGCCTCGTAAAAAGGCTTAAGAACATTTTCTGGAGAAAAGACTACCAAGGAGGCTTGGCGTCTTTCAAGCAAGGGTACAGTTATTAGATCAAATACAATTACAATTAAAATCTCTAAGCAGCAGCAGCCTACTTAGTTACCACATTAACACCAGAGTACAGCCAAGGAAGGGGACTGTCTCTTAAAGACCACGGAAATGAGGCAGTATGTGTAGTGGTTAGAAGCACAGCATCTGGGGCTAGACTACCTGGATTCAAGTCCTAACTCTGTCACTTACTGTGAGACTTCTGGCAAGACTCTTAACTTCTCTATGCCTCGGTATCCATGATAATAATGATATCGTCCTCACACATCTGTTATAAAAATGAAATTCCTATACATAAAGCACTTACAAAAGTATCTAACAGTACATAGTAAGGGCTCTAAGTGTTAGCTATAATAATAAGATTATTATTAATGGAAAGGCCAACTCTAGGAGATAGATTACTTCATTTAATGTTAATGATGAAATTCTAGATCCTGAAACAAGGGATGCTGGAAAATCTCTTTCCTAGAAAGTTGTGGACTGAGCTAAAATTTGCCTGTCTACAACTTTTACTCATTGATCTGATGCCTGCCTTTGGCAGCCATGTAATACATGCACCTCACTTCTACTGCCAGCCGTTCTTGAAGGCTTACAGCCCATCCTCCATCTTCTCTCCTGCAGACTAAACATGCTAGGTCACAGGATAGGGTTTCCGGCCCCTTCACACCATAATGGTCCCCTTTCTCAGGAAAATCTTAATTACTCAACATCCCTGGTACTAAATTGCTCAAATTTAGTATCCGGATCACAGTGTTTGAGGCTCAATATGTCATTTTGTGCTCCATAAACTTGAAATGAAGTAGTTCACAAAAATCATGGTATACCTGAACTATTCTCTCCCTTTCTGTATACACTGCACTTTTACTGATGTAGCCTGAGCTCATATTAGCTCCTCCATCAGGGCTTTCCACATGCCTGTTGGCTTGGTTGTGCATGGGTATCCCCTGGGAGACAAGGCTGCAGGACCCACTGACTGATACCCACCCGCCTTGGGGGTTCTGACAAAGGACTAGGTAGCATAACAGAAAAGATGAAATGAGAAAGCAAACACTCTATGCAGCAAAAGAAGCTTGTCAGTGACAGATTTGAAAGGTCCTGCTTCCCTTAATAAATCTGGACTGCGGGTTATTAAGTATAGTCATTAATGCTGACCAATAAATATTTCGAATTCTCTTCCGAGGTGGATGGTAGAAAGGCACTTCCCTGCTCCCGTGAAGTTAGAAGTGGTCATACGGCTTGCTTTAGCCAATGCGATGTGAGTGAGAGCCAGTGGCACAGTTCAAAGTTCCCATTTTCTTGCTTTTGGCAATCGTGGAAGCACAGAGATGGAGCCTACCTCAGTACAGATGACAGAGCAGAACCCCTTAGGTGACCTGTGATGGATATGGAAAGTGAGAAATAAACCTTGTTTTAAGTCACTGAGATTTTGTTTTATGTTGTTACCACAACAACAGACCCTAGCCAATCCTGACTGGTTCTGTATTACTGACATAGAAACTAGAATACTCAGAGCTTATATCCTCTGGATCCACCAGATCATAGCTTTCACATTTTTTCTCTTTACCATGCTTCTAATCTGTAAGATGGGAAACTATCTTCTGGTGGGTATGCACCTATTACACTAAGCCACTTAATTTAGCCCCACCTGCCATCAGTAAGGGAGATGTGTTATCTCTTCACATTAGTAATGCTCTAAGGAAGTCACCATGGAGACCATTTTTTTCTTCCCAAAGGAGAAGAAACCCAAGATTATTTGACTAAAATCTATCTAAGATCATCACTGCAGCCTGGAGAATGATGAATATCCGGAGGAAACTTAAGAATGAATGGAAGAATCTGGGAATAATTTAGGAGGAATGGGAACAGTAAGTTGTCTAAATTTGTGATTCTCTAACTTTTACCTGAATCAGAATCACCTAAAGGTCTGTTAAAACACAAGTTACGTAGGGTCCTACCTCCAGTCTCTGACTGTAGGTCTGGGGTAGGCTCAAGAATTTGCACCTCTAGCAGGTTCCTGGATCATGCTAGCACAGAGACTGTACTTTGAGAGCCACTGCACTAGAAGGATTCGCTCCAAAAAACTGGGGTGAAGGCTCTGGCAAGGGGAGCCAACGTGGCCTTAACAGACCCTCTTTGGAGTCCGTTCTCCTTTTCCCTCCCAACACAACATGAAAGCTGATACGTGAAGGACAAAAATTATCATCTCAGCCTTTTTTCTTTACCTCATAACATACTAAACAAAAATCAGTTCCTCTTTACAAGATGATAACAGTATTCTTTATTCACTGGCATATTTAAAAAAAAAAAAATAGTTTCCGTGAGGGGTCATCATGCCTCACTCACCTCCCAGATGTCCAGTTAGAGGTAAGTCCAAGTGTATTCCAGGAGGAAGCCGTTCAGATAACTGGCTGCAGCCTTCCTAGCATTATCTCCACACTCCCCTTCCCAAACCTCCACTACACGTGTCTTCTTGCCCTCTGACCCCAAGGCTGGTCACACTTCCCACAGCTGTGAACAACACTCACACACATGCACACTTATCCTCGCTTATCTAAATCCTCCCCCTTCCTCCAGTTTAGGGCCAGACACTTCAAGAAAGTGTTCTTTCTCTTTCATCCCCATCACAGTCAATCAGTCACTAAGTCCTGTCAATTTTACCTCCCTAGTATCTCCAGAATCCATCTGGTGCTCTTCATTTTTCACTCTAACTCAACTGGTATAGATCCTCCATGCTCTACCCTCCCTGGCCTCAAGGTCTTTGCCCAGGTTGCTCACCTTGACTAGACAGGTCTCAATTTAAACAACATACCTTCCCAAGATGAGAAGGCCTTCCATGATCCCTAAGCCAGGTTAGAATCCTCTTTTATCAATCCCCATTGAACCTTTTGTTTCCTCTGTCATAAACACTAATTGCACTTGTGATCTATTTAATTATCTACCTTCCCTATTCAACTGTAAGCTCTTCACAGACAGGACCACATTTTTCTTACTTGCTGCTCTAACTGCAGAGTCTGGCACTGCCTCTGACATGATGTAGACATTTACTAAGTATTTAATGAGTAAGTGCAGTAATCAGTTCATAGGAATCTTCCCTTTCTCTCCATGCCTAAAGCGCATTCTGCTTCAAGGAATTTCTGGCCATATAGTTGCACCCACCTCCTAAGACAAGCAAGCATTCCTTATGACACCCAGGAAATGGAATCTAGAGGGAAATAGTGACCCTTAAAAAGAAGGAATATTTTTTTCCTTAAAGACTGGATGCAATTAAGATTTACTACAGAGATTATTTTAGTAGAATAAAAATGGTTACAGTTCTCAGAAGTGGTCAGGGGACGAAGTCTTCTGTTAACAATGAGGAAAAGGAAGTGTGTGTGATAGCTGTTCAGTGATAAAAAGCCTGCATTTTTCTAGAAGCTCTTATTAAAGTTGGTAACTTCCCAAGTTAAGTATTTTGATGGATTTCCCCATCCAGACCTTTAGTAATGATCGGGGCCCATGTCTCCAGGATGCCTAAGAAAGGAGGCTGAACTCAGTGACCTCCCAAGAGTTTCTGACCTTTAGGATCCTATAAACAAATTCATTCCAAGCTGGAATGTGGAGAATCCACATTCTGGCTCTGTTTTTACACAGCAGTTCTTTCTTGACATAGGAGACAAGATAGCCTACTCTCTCTCTAATAGTATTAATGCTTTCAAAGTCAGATCCCAACTCCACAGTCTGGCCATCGTGTCCCATAGGTCACCAGCATCAAAATAATTTAACAGGCAGCCTCTGACTAGGACAAGGGTTAGACCTGACTAAAGGGATCACGTTGGGATGACATCCTGGCTTCTAGCCATGTAACTTTGGGCAAGTGACTACTTTGAGTCTCTAAAACTGGTGATGATGACCTACCTCTCAGGATCATTGTAGTAAGTGAGCTATGCTTGTAAAATCCCCAGCACAGAATGAACATGCAAGGAATGTCAGTATTACTGTGATTATAGATTTCTAGTTTTAAAAGTTCTGTAAAATAATGTTTCTAAGCTGAAAATACTATAGAAATGAAATGTTTGGAATTTGCTTAAAAAGAATCTAGGGGGTGATGGGGAGGGGACAGATGAAATAAAATCAGCCATCTTTTGGACATTATTGAAGATGGGTGATGAATACATTGGATTCATTACAATATCTTTCTACTTTTGTATATGCTTGAAATGTTCCATAATAGAAAATTTAAAGGTGTAAGTACCTAGGGAGGGAAATGCTATAAGAATATAAATACTGAAAATTTACTTAAGATCATATTTGGTCTAGGTGATTAAACAGAAGAAAAATGATTTGGAAAAAAAACTTAAAGCCAACATCTCTATTAGTTTCTCAAACAGAATTGTTTTCTTCAAACGGAATTGTCTCACATGAGCAGAAGGGAACAGCCACTTGCACATGTTTCTCTAATTTCTTTTTCAGGAGAAGAATACATCCTGCTTGGGCTGTACATGCATTTTTAAGTAGACAGTCCTGGGTGGTAGAACCTGCCTCTGAGCACCCCAGAGGCTCTGCCGAAATGGCATCGAGGAGCAGGAAAGTTCCTGTGTTAAGTAAGAAAAGTAAGCAGAACGAACTCAAAATTTTCAGGGACAATAGGTGGCAAGGGTCTGCTCTCCTAAGCCCTGGCTTTGGACTCTTATATGAGGCTTCCTTGAGAGGCTGGTTCAGCACGGTCTGAGGCTACATTTACAACATTTTCATACCAGATGAGTGTTACATGTCGCTTGAGGGGAAAGGGTTCATTCAGGGGAAAGTGAGCTTTTAAAGGGCTCTGACAACACCAATCACAGCACATACCCATATCATCTTCCCACTTCCATCTCTTCACAAAGAGAAGTCTAAAGATTGAAAGACAAAATGCTCGCTTTTTATCATGAATTAACCAACCCACTTCAAGCCCTTCTACCTAAGAGAAAAAAGAGTCCAACAAGCTTTGTTTTGAGTAAATGCCTTTAAGCTCCAAAACTCTGCCTGGAAAAGGAGAATATATAAAAGTACTTACTCTTCTTGAAGAATAAATTCGCTGTTTTCCGGAGAAAACTGCCCGCTCACGGGATGCCTGAACGCTGTGGTCTGCTGGTTATGGCTAAAGAGAAAGAAAGAGAGATAATGATGGAAAAGTCATATAAATGGAAAGGGTTACAGACACAATGACAGGTCAGTAATTTCTGAGGACCCCTGACTATCAGAGATTCCTCCCAAAATGAGAAAGTGGGCCTTTCTGCTGAGAGGCACTTATTTTGTCAGAACCCAGCTACATTTAAAAGTTAAGAACCTCCAGTTCGGGTGCCAAAGGCCATTTAAAACACAGGGATTTTAACTCTAGGGAAGTCTTGGCTCCAAGGCAACACTTCATCTTAGAGAGACATTCTATGAGGCACTGATTCCAACAAACTGAGCAAAAAGTTACTTTAAGATGGCACGAGCTAAAACAAGAATGAAGGAAAGCAGACGGCACTTTCAACAGCTTCCAAAATCCATGAACCAGGAAAAGAATTCTAAGAATTAACCACCCACCCAGAAAAATCTATCTTCTTAAAATTCTTCTCCCTACTACAAAATATCTTCAGTTCAGTGATGGGATATAAATATATGGGCATGTCTCTGCAACAAGACCTGCACAATTTCAACGCTGTGAGTTTCGATCACCCTTTTGAAGTTAGGAGGGATCAGCTTCCACGCCAAGCTGACAGACACAACCAAAGTGTGTAGGTGTTTTGTGTATTCACAAAGGCTGCCTGGTTCTTTGAAAGGAAGAGGAACTGGCTTTAAGGGCTGCTGGTTTCCTCCCTGAATAAGCTAACCTAACCTTCTTTTAAAAAGAATATGATTTATTTTTAAATGTTTTCCCCAATCACAAATCATATTCTTCTGAGCAATTTTAGAAAATAAGGTCATCCATGATCTCACCATCTAGAGATATACGTGGGTATCTTCTCCTTCCTAGCTTTTATTTCCTTCTATTTAAAAGAAATGTTGTGATTTTACTGTATTTAGAAATCTGTATCCTGCCTTTTTACATCATATTAACATAGAAAATTTCCTACGTCATTAAGAGTTTTGAAATAGCTGAATAATAGTCTCATCATATGGATATAATTTTTTTTCACATAACTGTTCAAAAAATATTTACTGGCCATCTGTATGCCAGACAGTGCTTTAGGTGCTGGACATACAGAGTGAACAAACAAGTCCTTATCCCACAGTGCTTATTACATTCTGGAAAGATTAACATCCTTCTAATGCTGAACATTTTAGGTGTCCCCCCTCCACTATTATAATAAACACATCTTTGAGTACATGCTTTTTCTGCTATTCAAATTATTTCCTTGGGTTAAAGTCCCAGAGGTAAAATTACCTAATCAAAGGGCATGGTCATTATTTAAGGCTCCTAATACAGATGGTTAAAATGCTTTCACTGTCGGTCAATATATCATCTCAGTTTGGTAGTAAGATATTAGCCTCATCTCCAAATTGAGCACTGAGCCATCCCAGAGATTAATAGGTTTAAATGAGCACAGCAGAAAGGTTAAAAAAGAAAAAAAGCTCTAAACCTACACAAAGTTTTTCATATTCTGCCTTGAGGCCTGGTTAGAGTATCCTGTGTTCTGATGTCTGGGGTTAGCTGGCACTGAGGTTATTGCCGCCTGAATCCTAATAAGCCAAATGTAAAGTAGGCAGAGCCAGGCTGCTCCTTAGCTCTGCAACTCTCCACCACCCCAGCACTCTCTCACTCCTCTCAACCACTGCCAGCCTCCAGACTACCAGCTCCTGGTTCCAAACAAGCCATTGGAATCCTATGACCTCATCTGCTAGGCAGCAGCCTGAACTTCTCCAAAATGGAATTAAGACATGAGCATCTAGAGAAGCAGGCCCCCTGAAGACCTGTTTCAGAAATCCTTGCACCATACTCAAGGGTTACACTTTATTTACACCCAGCTTCTTTCAGAGTGTCAGCTCCATTCACCAGAGAATTTGAAAACAAACTCTAATCTAAGATTGCCTCATTTCCACCTGGAGAAAAAAAATGCTCCGCTCATAATGGGAATTACAATAAAGCAACACCACTATGTACTACCACCTCTCAAGGGTCCTCCAGACCACAAAGCCTTTTCTCACATCTTAGCTATTAACACCATCAACCCCCATTTTATGAATGGGGAAATGGCTCAGAGAAGTTAAGTGACTTGCTCAGGATAACTTTGTCAATAAGTGAAAAGAGTGAGACACGAATCCAGGTCTGCTATTTCTAAATTTGATGCCCTCTGCATGATAACCTGCTGTCCCCTTCCCTTAGGAATCTGTGAGGCTGGCAGTTTCCTGGCCATGATCAGGAATCCCTAAGATAAGCCATCAGGTAAACAGCACCATCCACTGCTACTACCTCTTCCTTCCTACTTCCCTCCTTCCCCTTGTGCCCAGGACCAAAGTTCTGAATGACAGCATCAGTGTGGCACTCAATAGCCCCCAAACAGCCTTGGTCTTATCACAAGATCAGCTGGGTGAATCTCTGGTAAATACAGGCAAAGAGCAAATCAGGTAAATGCTTGGAGCAGAAACAGCAACCATTTCATACACACTGCACAACCTTAATAGCAGATCCTGGGCTCCCCACATCCGACCTGAACCAGCTTAAATAAGCCCAGAGTCTTGGGTATATAAATCTCAAGCTGGATGGTATATGCACTAGAATGTGTTTTACATGTTAACATTAGAAAGAAGATTGTTTTTAAAGGTGGACGAAAAAACAGCTGTCATTTCATCAGACCTAGAGGCAGCTCCCCAACCCTTCTTTCCTAATACGGATGCTGTCCATTTTGCCAAAAAAGTTACCACAGCATTATCACCACCATTTCCTGCATTTACATGAAGCCTTAGGTGTGGTCACATTCATCATCGTATCTGACCCTCTCAAGTAACCTCTGAGTTAGGCAGGCAGATATTTTTATCCCTATGTTACAAAAAAGGAAACTGAGACTCCGAGTTATGGGATGTTATTGGAATATTCAATTTAAAAAACAGAA